TTTGCAGGTTCGTCCTTCATCGACGTATAATCCGAAGAGAAGAACTCCGGCGGCAACAAATCCGGTGAAAGAAGTGATCCGGACGTGACTTTTTCCGGTGAAAATTGATTTTTTTTTCGGGCAATATTTGTCATTTTTCCGGCCAAAATTAGAAGTAGTAAGTAATGTATGCATTATATGAGGATTTTGGAGTCTAAAAATCATCTTTAATTCATATATTATGGTTAATTTGTTGAGGATTGAATGTTGAATCTTGTTGTTCATATTTACGCTAAATCAATAAAATGATCATAATCTCTTTTTCTTGTTCATTTATACGAAATTGATGCTATTGTTAGGTTATGATAAGTGTTATTAAGCCTAAAACAAGAAAATAAGGTGGGAATTTTCATTGTACCAATATTCTATATTATTGTACCTCTGTTTGTGTATATGTAGTACCACTTTAATAGTTGTTTGGTACCACATGTGCTGGGAATGTGAATTTGTTTTTTTAATTTATCCAATTATTGTTAGATACATGGAAGAGGCACAAAGTGATATACTAGGGAGTTGTACCTACAAGAATGAATTGTTTGTGTTCTCTATGCACCATGGATCAACGTTTGACGAAGTCTACACTCTTATTGCTAAAAGGTGGCCGAATGTTAATTTCCAATCCGTCATGCTATGTTATATTGCGCCAAAAGAAAACAAAAGAGTTAGTTTATCCGATGATGGGGATGTCAAAAACATGATTCGGTTACATGTTTTTTGGAAAATTAATATTGTCGAGATAGTTGCCATTGAAAGAATTGGAAGGCCGAATGATAGAGTTCAATCCATCCAGATGAACATGAATAGGTAATGTTGCTTTCATAATAGTAATTAATTTATTATTGAAATATGGTATAGTCATATCATATCCTAGTTCATTAATTTTTTAAGTGGTTCAATTATTTATAAATATTTGTATTATTTTTTCATTAACATAGGGAAATTGTATCGTATGATGATTTCTCGGAGGGAGAACATGAGTTGTTGCAAGATAAATCGATTGATTCTTGGAGAACTTGCATAAAAGGAGAGGGGCAAATATTCAATGGGGCAGATGAATTTCGAAAGAGTGTTAAGAACTACGTGATTGCTAATAGCCGGTCCTTTAAATATAAGAAAAATGACAAGCAGAAGGTCATCGTTTGTTGTAGTGATGCGGATTGTGAATGGAGAATATATGCATCATTATACAAAGGTGACCAGTTGTTTGCTATCCGGAAATGTAATCTCGTCCATACTTGTGGAGTGTCCAATCTTCGGACAAGGGGGCATCCGAAAGCGGACTCTAATTGGGTATCAAGTACAATCAAAGACAAATTGCGAGATGAGCCGAGTTACAGGCCTTGCACGATATTGAAAGATCTTCACAGGGACTACCGGTTGGAGTTGTCTTACAAAAAGGCATGGTTAGGGAAGGAAATTGCCATGCAAGATATTTATGGAGTAGACCGGGGCTCTTACGATAGGTTGAGATGGTATTGTAGCGCAGTGCGTGAGACAAACCCCGGAAGCATTGCCGACTGTGAGATTGACTCTTTCGACAACAAGTTTCGCCGACTGTTCATTTGCTTTCATGCATGCCTCGTTGGTTTTTTAACCGGTTGTCGACCCTTAATATTTCTTGATGGCACTCACATAAAAAGTAAATACAAAGGTTGTTTGCTTAGTGCTGTGAGTAAGGACGCCAATGATGATTTGTTCACTATAGCATTTGTCGTGGTTGATGCCGAGACCGATGAAAATTGGCAGTGGTTTTGCTCGAAGCTGAATAATGGTTTTCTTTCCTCGTGCTTACCTGTTCCTAGAAGCTTACGGACCGACACAGTGGGCTACTTAAATCCATCCCGTTGGTTTTTCCTGACAGTCATCATGCTTATTGTGTGAGACACTTAGTCGAGAACTTTAAGAAGCAGGTAAGAAACTTAAATTATGCTTATATAATATATTATAAATTCTGTTATATAAATTCTGTTTATATAAATTCTGCTTATATAATATATTAATATTCTAGTTTTTTTTGTAGGTGTTGAGGAGTTACCCACTTCATAATAAGAAACATTGGTCCTCGGTTTTTACGAAAGCTGCGTACGCTCCTAGTAGGCAAGATTTTGATATGCATATAAATAATATATTGATTGCTATGCCTCTTGCTATGAACTTCATTCAAGATTCTAACCCACAATGTTGGGCGAATTCTTTATTTCCCGGAGACCGTTGGGGGATCATCAATAATAATCAAGCCGAATGTTGGAATAATTGGGTAAAGTCGGCACGATTTATGCCTATCGTAGCCATGGTGGATCACATAAGGAAACAAATTATGACCATGATGCATGATCGGCGTGAAGGAGTTTCACGATTTAATGGTTCATTGTGTCCTAAGCCCGGAAAAAAAATTGCATCTTGCTACAGTGCTTCCCGGAATCTCAAAATCACTCAATCGAGTGAATGGAGGTTTGAAGTTGTTGATGCGGACAAAAGTTGTGACGTGGATTTGCAATCTTGTACTTGTTCTTGTCGAGAATGGCAACTATCTAAGTTGCCGTGCAAGCATGCATGTGCTTGTGTTGAGAGTAAGTCAA